CCCCCCCCCCTTCCTGTCCCATGAAGAGCGAAAGTACATGTAGAGCGGTTAGCCTTCTGGTATTTTCCTTGAGAAAGTTATTTAATTTCTCTTAAAGGAGCCGCATAGCCATAAAATTTAAGGTAGCGCTGCCTCTAAGCAAGTATTGTAATCATTTTGAGGTAGAGGCGATTGTGGGGGTACATAGAACTTTCAGGTTGGCCAGAAGTCATTCCCTTGTAGTTTACAGGGTCTGTTTCCCTTGTAGTTTACAGCATTATTAGGGAAATCAAGAAGCTTAAGGAGAAAAAAAGTTTGCAAGAACGCCAAAAAATACAAACACAAACATATGATGGATAAAAACTGTCCTGATACTTGTTCTTGTGCTGTATCAATATCAATAATGATTTTATCGTCGATATCACGCGACGCATAGCCTTGCTTTCTCACGCGATTTGTCCATTTTGTCCCTTATATTAGCTTGGGATCAAAATTATTTTACTTTTGAAATCAACTTTGAAATTAATTGATGGTCAGAGATTGGTTGTAATTGAGCAGCCATGCAAAACAACTCTTTAATATAGCAGATTTGTGGCTTGTCTCGTGTACGCAAAGTCCTTATCTTGAAGTCGGCACTTGTTACCAAAACAACCACCCACTGATGAGAGATTTTATGTTGTTTAAATTTAGAGTGTTTAGAAATAGTAAGAATAATCGACTTTCACTTACTCGAGCATATTACTCAGAAAGTGGAATGAGGTGATAAAGAGGCTTGATGGCAAATTTTCAAACAAATATTAGCCGTGTATTTGTGTCTCAAATTCATGTGTGTTATTGTTTGAACACATTCACGCCTTTGAGTTAAGACTACAAGCTCGCCCGCCCCTTTTCAGTTGGAGACCGACGAACTTTCCTTTGTCTCAGTCTATTTATGTAGCGGTAGTTATACCTCTTTGCATAAGTTAGATTCCAGCATTATCTTATTTCAATCATTTTCGAGATTAACTTTTCAAAGGGATCATCTGCTAACGAAATCGACCAATATGTGAGGCCTAATTTCATCAACACTGTTTTCACTGCTCACTGCACAGCTCGCTTTCCGTCGTTTTCTTCCGAACAGGTCAGAAAGCTTTGTGGGGTCTTTTTTCCCCTGTTCATCCACCAGCTCGTCTTGAGTACGGTGAAACCGCCAACAAGCCACCTGCACTGTCAGGTGACCTCGGATCAGATATTGACTTGCTAGGCGGGTGGTAAATTGCTTATTGACCGAGTCCTACTAGTCAGGCGTGGCAAGGTGATGTAGTCTAGCGGCGTTTACTATTCAAGGAGAGCCGGTTTCTCCGACACTCGTGCATTATATACCGCATGATCGCGCAAATTCTCGCAAGAAGGGCAGAGGGATTATCGTGTTAACCAATATCGCAATATATGAAGTTAAGCTTTGAGGGGAGCGTCCCTGGGAACTAGGTTGGAGGTCTGGCAAATAATAATAATTAAAACTCTTATTGCGTAATAAAAGAAGAAAAGCATGTGCTAATCTGTCTCATAACGACAGACAAGAGGGTGAGGTTCTGTATTCGACCAAAGAAAAATCAGCCATCGTAATTAAAGGTTCCTCAATTCTTGGCTTTGTCCGGCTAATGTTCCTGATCGATGGAAAACCGAGAAACGGAATCCAAGGGAATCGAAATTGATCGCCTTTCTGTTAGAAGGGTTTGAAAGTCTTTACAAGATACAATTGATCTCAAGGGAATTATAAAATATTTCGTGGTTCTTAAAATAAATTATCCATATGTTAAGCCGAAATTTTAATGGCCATATCGCTCTCAAACCAGAGGCAATATTTCCACATTCCTGTATCATTAATGGGTTTCCTCGACGCAATCAAGTGCTTTTCAAGAGTCGTCTCTTCTCTGCACGAAACTGTTGAATTTATTTTCTTAATTCAACAAAAGGTGACACAGCCGGAAGCTATTACAGGTACATAAAAGACTATGAAAACTAAATAGGATTAGTCTTTATTGTCGTTTGAACAATTCGCATAGATGTAATTTTTTGTAAATTATTTCCCATGGTAACAGAGCTTATGTCGCCCACATGATTGGATTAACCGCTTCATTGCCTTGAGCTATAGTCACATCTCGGCAGGTGTGTCACGCTCTATTGTAAGGGTCACGCAAACCATCAAAGTATCGATCAACGTTTGCCTACACTTGCCAATATAAATATGTTCCTTCGTCGGTCAAGCAGACAAAAGATACTGTCATAGTTTTTTCCGTATAATCAGTCATAAAGACATGATAACTACTCTTTATACCACCTACACTGAGGAACCACGCGCAAGGGTGAGTCAACAGGCAAATTATTTGACATCATTACAAAGTATAAAGCAACATTTGGTTGTTCAGCCGGCTGTGAAACTCCAACCAACATGTGTTGTCATCCATATTAATAATTGGACTTGTTTTTGAAGGACGCAAGCACAAAAACGGCGGTCGACGCGGAAAGTCGCAGGAAAATGGTGAGTTTGTCCGTTTTGTTTCTATTTCTGGGTTGCCTAAACCGCATCTAGCTGTTTTCGGCCCACCATGACTAAGAGTAAATTGATCGAGAAAAAAAAAATCCCTAATCTACCCCCTTCAGTTTTGTGCTTTCGCATGAATCCTCGCTGATAATTGCGCGGTAAAATGCTCACAAATTATATGACTGCAAAAATCCCCAAACTCATGATGTTTATGGAATTCTGAAATGTTCGGTCTCCCAGAAAGAGAAAGTAATCAGAAAATTCTGTGGCGAAAAGTTTGACGCTTCCGATCCTGTCTTGGCGCGAGTATAGGATTATACTATGCTACACTACTATCGTAATGAGGGTAAATGAAGGACTACTTAACACATATTTATCAACTGTTTATATCCATACACACAAGCGAAGTTTATAATCACTGCTTCAAATTAAAGACTACTGCTGAAGTTTCAAGTTTTGTGAAAGCAAAACTGTGTCTAAAAAAAGCCAAAAATGTAAGATTCCCGGAACGGAAGCTATGCGTAATATTCCAAAATCCTCGGCCTAAGCAAGGTCGCATCACGTCATATCAGCTGATTCCTTTCATATAGCGAACTTTTGACCTCGTACTATTGATCGCAATACATGGCGAATGAAAATGTTTCAGCATCAAAGGACAGAATACATTCAGAATAAAAAGACAGTTCTCCGTTTTTAGCATCGAGCTCCTCAGCAGCATTTACTGTTCGTCGTGAGAAAGCGCTGTCTTTCGGCTGACTTGACATATTAGAGCTGCCCTTCCCAGAAACTGAACATAATTGATTTTACACAGTTTCCAGTTGAGTGACCTTAAATCGTCCGCCGTAAAACAGAGAAGCCAAACTCATTGATCTCTCATAGTCTCAATTTGCATTGTCTGAACTTGATCGGGTCGATTCATTTCCTTTGAGGAAATTTAAAAAAAAATCGTTGTACTTGTCCAAGATGTGCTCGGGTTCGCCGTCTTGAAGAGTCTCGCATTTACCGGCTACCGCCCACAAATCAAGAATTGAGTCGAAGATATCACGTACATGACCCGGAATTCTAAGAAACGAGAAATTGATGAAACCGTTCGCAACGAAGTCTTTCGCAAAGAAGAAAGAAATCATCTTGTTAGAGATGTTATGAGCTGACTGAGTTGGAAAGTGACCCCATAAATCAGACTGCTAATATAAAAGCGGATTTATCAAAGGACATAGAGGAGACAGTACTGTTCTTATTACCCAACACTGTAATATACTCGAACAGGAAAATGACGAGATATACTGGTAAGGAAAGGCGCGGGTACCAATCAAAACATCAGCCAAAGGGCTTGGAAGTAAGGTAGGAGTAAAAGATGGGAAGGAAGAAAGAACAGAGGCAACAGCTATTCAGACACAGGCCCTGTATTTCCGGTTTCTCCCGCATTATTCACCCACGCCAAAAAAAAAAATTATCAACTCCGATATGGACCTCAGTGGGCCTTTAATTGTGTAAGGCGTTAGTTGTATTGGCTTTGTGAAGATTAATAAAAGCCTCCCTTTTCCGATTACACGAGTGTAGTTTTATCGTTAAGGGGAGAATAAATACGAAAATGTGGACACAATGAACGAATAAAAATCATAAATAGGCTGGTTTTAGCAATGATAGTTCGACGGGCTGGCTGTGCTCCAATGCTTTCCACTTCGATTTGGAATATTTGGTGCTGGTATTCGAATCAAGGAGTTCAGCAACCCCCTTCAAAGCGAGTGTTCTCTTCTGATTAATTGTTTACGCTACATGATCAAAAATAAAGTATTCCGCGATGTTTAAGCTTATCAGCCAAATATATTTTCTTAGGGAACAATCACAAAGAAATACCTGAAGGAAAAAAAACAAATAGAAGGATGAAATCAAACGAGCTTCAACTAAGCTTCTCGTAATCTGGTTTCAGCGTTCGTCCAAAATGTTGATCCTAACAACGGCGGCTCAAAATTTTCACTTACTTCTCTTTGTTCTTTTGAAAACGGTGGAATGTAAAACAGGAAAAGAAGGATTAATGCAAACTTTTCTGGTGTTTAAAAAAATCACTTGTTTAAAAAATAATTAGAACAAAAGCAAGAGATAATCGCTTTGTAATTAACATGGCCAATTAAAAACTTGCTAATCACGAGTATCTAAATTAACGGTCTAAGAGGGAAGTAAAGGGCGAATTATAAATAACCATGACAGAGCCACTTTAATCAAGTTTGCCGCTTCTTTTGTCAGCATAAATAATATTTTGATGAATTACATAAATGATTTATTACTGAGTGCGTCTGTTTTCCGGCAATGCTCTGTAAACTGAAGATGAAGTTCATACATTAAATCATTCTAGCGTTTATTTTAAGGAAAGATTTACAGAAAATATAATTTGGTTGAAAAAAAGCACAGCTTTTCCTAAACACATACAAATTGAACTGTGAAGCATAAGAAACGAAAAACTGGTTGCAGCTGGTACGTACTACGTGCAAATGAAGTGGTGTTAAGCGCGGGAAAATTGAGCGAGATCCCAACACGTGATCACATTTTGACCTTGCTTTGATTGGTTTGTAGCTATTGCGTGCCTTATTTCAGCCAATCAGAAAAAAAACTCAGGAGAGGAAAGTGTACGCAGACTGGTGTGTGGATTTTTAACCGTTATTCAGTTCCAGCAGGTGAAAGGAGTGGATGCTATCAAAGTTGCATGTGGTTAAGATGACTTTCTATTCTCAAGTCGCAAACTCCTCAAACCTGTGTGAGTTGATTCCCTGTTGTTGAGGTAACAGGTGTCGTAGCCATCAACCCTGTTTGCATGTTTACCATGTAAGCAAATTATTTTATGCAGTTCTTAACCGCACTACATATGTTTAGAACACCGCAGTGACCACATGTTACATTAGCAAATAGCCTCCTCAAGATTAATATAGACATTGAGTTTTTATTGTTGCAAGTTTTCTCAAGAAGTGAAGTTCTTTTTAGATCGATCATTGAAAATGATTTTGTTGGTCTTTGGTCGAACTTCGTGAAATGTAAACGAGATATTGTCTTTTTCCATTCGGTCTATGATATAAGATTATTTCTCCCTCGATTGGGTTTAGCTAAAATGATTTAGTAATTTATCTGCATGGTGATATCTCCTCTTCTCGAAAAAAATTTGAGCTGGAGAAAGAAGACGTTCCTTCAATCTACAATCCAGATACAAAAGTGTGATTAGTTCACTCTTGTATGAAAACTGTTATCTTGAATTTTGATTAAAATCTGACAACAACCACTTTCCCCGGCGTTCTTTATATAATTGTGGGTTTCAAATCAATAAACCATGTCATAAATTCATTTAAAATAGCAAATTTAAAGCTATTTGTGTATTCTGTCTCGAAAGGTTTCTCCTCCGGAAAGTGTCCTATGGGAATTGCAACTGTCAGGAGAGATAAAAAAAAATTGGAAGTGCGGAACGGAATTTCTGAAAGATCATAGAACGACAGGAAGACTTCCTTTTATGTCATAAGATATGAGGCAATAGAAAGAACCTCTTTCAACAATATTTTTTGATCAAAAAGAAAAAAAAATCGAAAACTCAGTTCGGAATGTTAAGAAAATTAATTGTTTTTGTCCTTGGTATCTAGCTTGGCATTGTATTGATTTCAGTGACAGCCACAGGGGTTGCCGGGCAACAAATTGCCCGCAAGAGAGACGTTAATAGCTTTCCCATTTACACTGATTCATATCATTTGTTTGACAAATAAAAGAGCAATATTGATACTTATCGAGTCATTCGTTTCAAGAATGAACTGAGAATATGAATTTCCATCTATCTTTTAGTAATATTTTGACTTCAATTTCAGTTTTTTTTCTCAGTGGGAGTTTCAAATTTCCGCTGATAAATGGCGAAACAAAAAGGAATATGACGACAGTAATGAAACGCGTAATATCATCGATAAACAACTGCAAAGAGGTGTCACGAAAGCTTAAATTGAAGCGAAGAGTATCGAATATCGAATCATATTTGAGAGCTATATACCATAGTACATGATCACGTAACAGTGTGGTAGTTTTTACTCAGCTTTAATTCAGAACCTTCGATTAAAATTCTCTGTTTTTAAATTTCAAGATTAAATATTTGACATTCGATCGCATTTGTCGTTTTCTTCTATTTCAAAATATAATTATTTAAAAAAAGGCAGTTCATGGAGATATTACAATTTTCTACCTCCGATTTTGTAGAGAGAGCTTTTGAAAACAAGAACAGATTTGCGTATCCCAGAAATCTCTGCCGGTTCTCTCTTACCACTGAGTCTACATGATAACGTATGCGTTCTCCTATCAGCTATAATCTTACTGCAATTGTGATCATTGTTTTTGGTCGTAGACATGTTATGGGTGATCGAAATATTTTCTACTACTCCATGACAAATTCTGGATCTATCTGTAAATCTGGTGCTTTCAGCATAGAGCGATAATCCACCAAATCATCTATAAGCTAGACAAAAAATCTTACCGGAAATTTTGTCTGATTGGGAGTTATGTGGCCATTAAGCTAAAATAACCTCACTTTACAGTTGACAAAGCCTTTCTTATTTCTTCAGATCCGTCAATGGTCGCATTAAATTTTGCGATGTCGTTCAGTGCGTGGGTTTTATATTGTAAATGGTTACTTTCTATACTGATATTTGATCGTGTTACTGTCAAACACTTCCCGCGGATGATTTCATCCGAATCGGCTGCATTTATATGTCTACAGACATCTGACGCCAGCGGCGTTTGAGTTCTATTTTATACTTAGGAAATGTTTACCATTACTTCATCGCGAACCGGGGCAAAACAAACAATTTTTAATTACGTAGAATTGAGTTATCACCAAGTTCTTTCCTCTTCTTTCTTCCTCAAGAGTTGTTTGGCTCATCTACGATTTAATTTTGGAATTTGCAACTCTGTTTTGTTTTGTTTTCTTTCTTTTTGTTATATTTTTCTTCTCAAAAAGCTTAGTAGATTATCGCATTCTGTATCTTGTTTTCTTTGCATGATAAAGTTCTTCAAACTTTGAAACATTTGTGTTCTGTCATTGTCGCTTTGTGAGGTAAAAAACTGGTCAGTGATAATTCAGCAACATTCTACCACGCGGAAAAAGAAGAAAATTGCCTATTTTCTGTTTTGTTGGTTTCTGCATCAATTGATAAGCTTGAGCCTGCAATGTTATTGAGAAACAAAACGGTATCATGATCTTTACGATCACAGAGTTGCAGAGGCCATTTGCATGATATACCGCTGGCTTTCCTCTCTCTTTTTCTTATCTCCAAGAGGCGATGTCAGTTTAAAATTTGCGATCCGCCTAAGTTATACACTAAACAGAAGTTGAAATACTCTTGTAGGTTACTTAAAAAGCTAACTACAGGGCGTTTTCTCTTCTAGCAGACTTCTGAATTGCGCTTTAGAGAGCTTTCCTATCAGACCGTCCTTTCACACATTGGGTACTTTCTGAGTGTAAACCTTTTAAAGCTCATATTGGTAGATTTCTAGTTCGATTTTGTAGAAGAACATGGTCCAGAAGTGTCACAAATAACTCTGGTTTAAACGCGAATGAAATCAGAATTTACTGACTCAATGTTTGCGCGCGATATGTTAATAAAAAGAAAACATCAACGAGTACATTAATGGTGTAAGAATAGCACTGACACTTCCCCTGCACGAAAAGAAGAATGAAAATACTGACCAGACTTAACACCTGTTGACACAAGGAAGTACTTCAAAATCCACCGGTGATTATTTTATCTGAGATATATTAACATCTGTACCACGTACTACAGGTAGATAACAGAGCCGATGGCATAGGTCTTGACCAATGACAAGAGCGTTAAAATCGATGTCCTTCATTTCTTTCGGTGTTAAGAGGCAGGATATTTAATAAAAAATATTTCATCATTCAAATGTTCTTAGAGACTGAAATGCTATGACACGGTTTGGAGAAATGAAATTATCAAGCACGGCCTGAAATTTATTCCCTAAAAATTCAAGCTTTGTCAGGAGCCCATCCAAGTGATGGGCTTCTGGCTTTGTGTGGGACTTTTCTATCTTTTCTCTGAATGACCCACTTAAAATAATGTTTAAACTATTATCATTATAAATAAGTTCAAGAAAAAAATAATGAGCAAAACGAGTTCAATTCAGCTAACTTATATCACCTTTGAAAAGTGTCGAAATAGTCTGATATTGGAACCAGGACAAAAACTAAATTACTCAGATCAGCTCGAGTCTCTGCAAGTTAAGTACCGTAATTGATCTTTAGAATTCTTTGCAAAGTGGATTTTTAGCTTCTGAGAAACGGAATGTGTGACTAGAATATTAATTTCTATTAGTCCCGGCCCACGCTTTCCATTGTCTAATAGATTAAGATCAGTATCTAAAGTACTTTGGTTTACAGAATGGTCAAGAAGTACTTCTTCTGTAATGATCAAAAACTTAGTTGACAAATAAGACTGCTCTACTGAACGACATTAGCTTCAAATGCTTTTGCATTTACCTCAGCACCTAAGGAGAATTATTTTGGTGGTTCTCTTAGACTCATCCTTCTCGTTCTGCTTAAGAATTTCCGCCGAAAGACTTTTGTTGAAAATTCATGTTAATTGAGAATATTCAGTACTAACCGCAAGAAGTCAAACAGACCAATATATACCACACCGGAAATAGCAGATCATTTTAATAACCGCAAGACTAGATTATAACCACGTGAAACGCAGAGTGATTAGTAACCTTTATTAGGAAACTCAAATATTTAAAGGGATTTTGCTTGGTGGTCACAGTTATTTACTTTGTAGTGGCGACATGTGCTTCGTTAAGTTTTTGAAGGTCAAATTATTAACCTGTAATTCAATTCCACAACTAACCGATCAAGATTAAACAACACTCAGTTCAAAAAACCTTCAAGGTTTACTAAATGCCAACAGCATCTTTTTCAATTTCGGGATCTGAAAAAGGAAAGGTCAAAAATTTAAAAGTAGGTGTGTAGAACTTAACATCCGAAACCAATAAACAAAAGTTTACATCCGTTCGAAGACTGAAGGGAGATATCTCAGGTTTTGTCGCCCATAGCTGGCCACGCCTATATACCCTTAACTTGAGCGCCCCCGAAATTAACTCATTGATCGGAAATCAACATTTCCTTCAAGGAAAAGGAGTAAACTTTTAGGAATTTCGAACAAGGCTGCTTTCTAGAATATCCTTTGTATTTACCGCCTGTATCCGTAAGCCATACTATTTCGTTTCCGATTGAGTTGCTCCAGCCAGTCCTAATCATAAACCAATGAGCTTCATATGCCCAGCAAACTTTGGCCGAGGGGCGTGTGACGAGAGCCTGGGCCGGCTTCGTGCAGTGCGCAGAGGCCGTGGCACTTCACAATTTCCCGGCCTCCATGTTTGAACCCGAGACACTAACATTTGATTTTTGTGGTGTTTTGAGGAAAAGATTGCTGGAAAGACGGAATTAAAATACGGCAAGGCGGCAGCACGGCTTCGGGCGGGCTGAGAGCACTCTTTGCCCATGGAACATAGTGGCCCAGAGCGAACAAGGGTCCGTACTACAAAGGTGAAGTTCGAAAATTCTGGCTTTGTTTCGTCAAGACGCCGTATTTAAACAAGATAGACAGTTTTCGAGCACGGGGCATCGAGTCTTACGTGGTTTGCGGCTTTTTTTGGTTGAATTCAAGTTGAAGTCTTCCTGTAATTTAATACAAGAGGCTTTTCTGGAATCGTTCGTCATTTCAGTAGAATTCATTGAGGCGGTTCGAAGCGAATCGAATAGAAACTTTCTTAGAATGTCGTTTCGTCCTCAGCGACAGTGTCATGGGCCAACTCCCGACAAGGTCCTCGATTGAGTCGCAATTTTTCGTCCGATTGTCAATTCATCGATCGCTATAGTCCTTGTTCTTGATCCTTTGATAGCTGGCGAAGGTATAATCCTTTTTTTGCTGTCATTTTGATCTCTCTTTAGGTGCCCGATGGCCACAGTTCGTCATCCTCTAGCTCTAGAGCTGCTAGGAATCGCTCATCCACCTCGAGCGCGGAGGAAGTCCATATAGGCAAATATCGTTTGATAAAAACCATCGGTAAAGGGAATTTCGCCAAAGTAAAACTCGCCAAGCATGTGCCAACAGGAAAAGAGGTAAATAAGTTATCCTTCTCTATTTACAGTTGCAAATTTGGTTGTGGATTCTTCCGTTCGATCGGCTCTCTTATTTGCTCGCTGTGAGGGATAGTGTAATAATTAAACACAGACCGGTTCCAACGCCTTTTACTTAGTTTTATTTTTCCCCTTCTATAGGTGGCAATCAAGATTATCGACAAGACACAACTGAACCCGAACAGTTTGCAGAAGGTATGTCCCAACTTCTTTAACGGCCAAATGATTTGTGTTCAGAAACGTGTGTCAGTTCCCTCGAGTTTACCCTCGATTGTAGCTTGTCGCGTATCATTAGGTATTCGAAAGCACTGTTGAACCTTCGGTTTGTTTTGAAGAGAGCTTCAAACCCAGTAAGTTACGTTTCCGTACGGAAAAGTTTTAAATTTGTGGACTTAACTTCAGAAATCCACTGATGTGATCCAGACCTTATAGTGAATCCTGGGAATATTGTTGAAGTCGAAATCTTCGATTATTCTTCTGGGAGCGTTAGGTTATGTCAAGGGGGAAAAATATTCTGTATTCTAAACCGAAGTCTTCGTTTACATATTATTGTTAGTTGATGGAAATCTCTGCTTACCTTCGCATTAGAGTACTATCGGGTATTATTTTCATATTTTCGTTTTTTTGCATTTTGATCGATGATTTTCAAAGTGAAGAACCAATGGCTGGTGAAAAACTGTTTCTAAAAGTGGACGGTTAGCATTGGTTGTTTCTACAAGATTACTTTATTTACACAATTTTCCCATGGAGTTACATTAGGACAAGGTCGCTTAGTATCCAGGTGAAAATATCGCACCAAGGAAATCGAATATTGTGAGTGCAAAATTCTCAGATGATGGCGGATCCATACTTTCCTATGTCTGGACAAAGATTTGTTGTGATGCGAACTGAAAAATTCAGTCCGTAATCCATGTTGTGTTTTATTAATAAAGTGTTAGTCCATTTTGCATTGCACGTGATGGTAAGATTTTTTAGGCTGACTAATACGACTTAAACGCCAGCGAATAAAAAACGCGTTCTAAGTCGCCACAGATTTACTTGTACTTTTTTCTGGATCACTTCAAATCGCGTGCGCATTTTTCGAATTAATGGACATAATTTCTACTATAATGTGCATGGATTGTATTGATAAAAATCCAATCGTTGTGTAGTGTTGTGTACAAACTCTGCGGTCAAGTAGCGATTTTGACGAAGGTTTTCGAGCGACATGTCGATGATATAATATTTTTTGTTGGTGTTCTATTGGAAATCCAGCTCTCTGCATGCGTCTTAGTAGGGCTATTTACGTCACAGTTGAAATGTTATAAAAGGTGTTGGAATTTTTTCCCCCCACGGCAGTTGAACCCCAGCTCGGCAGAGAGTAACGAGTTAGATTTGCATTTTTTGACTCACCGGCAATCCTTAGGGTCTAGTAGCAAATTTAGATGATTCTGAATATTTCTACTTCCTTTACTACTAAGTGTAGTAAAATGGAAACAATGTACTGCCATTTTATTCAACTCAAATGTCTTTGTACTTTCCAGGAGCTTAGGATATTCTTTATAGACAAAACAGGAATAATAGTATAATTGAACTTTAGTTCACAGGTGTACACTGTCTTGCCTTTTTCATAAGTGAATTCAGGAAACCAAAATTGTTGAAATATTTTCTCTCTGCCATAAGTGATCTTGTGCTAGAATTTCTGGACAAATGTAGCATTGTTATGGTTACATAACCTTGCTCTCAAATTATCATACCATCTGATACAGTCTTCTCATCAGTGCACAAGTTTGTGGACATCTGCCCCCTCTGTTTATCAAAACATGTGACTACAATTGGGTTAAAAATCACACATAGAGTCATGTGGATAATTTTGGTTGCTAGTCAAATTCATCCTCTTGGCTGCCATGTCTGTGAGGGAGGTTTTTTTTTTCCAACTATGACTCTGAGAATATTGATTAAAGAGGCTTTTTCTTCTTCAAGCAATGATAATATTTTATAAATATTTGATTTTTTTTGCACATGTGTGGTAGTTATTTTCCTATGATGGACTCATTTGAAGAAATTTTGATTCAGTTATTTGGAATCTGTGAAGCATTTTATTTTATAACTGAAAATTCTTCTGCTCTTAATAACAATATTATTGTTAGTTGCACATTTTGTGGGTGTAATAATTGTTTTTCTCAACTACAGCATCAGGTATTGCTTTCTATATCAGATATAAGACAAGCACATTCAGGGAAAAGGGCCTAATCTGCAGCAAGATGTTGTTGAAAAGTTTTTTTCCCCCCCTGAAGCAATAACTTAATGTGCTGATGATTTACAGTATTGCCTTAATGACAGTGAAGAGATAACTACTAGTTAATGCAATGTGCCACTTGCATTATTTTGAATTGGAAATATTTCATTGGTATGGTAGTAAATTTAACAAGTGTCCTACATGTACACTGTACGCAGTAATTCACACAGAGAATAATTATTTTGTTGATGGGTAAGCTGTGTTTGAAGGATTTTCATTGCTGTGAACAATTACAATATTAAAAAAGGAAACAAGGAGATTGTTCCAATTTGAAGTGCTTGTATATTGATGTGTTTTCTGTATGAAACAGTATAAATATCATGCTATCCCTCCATTGTCGTATCCAGCTTAAAGCCATTTTTGTGTGTATATATGAATATACATGCACATCTAGTTGAAGATGTGTATATGTTTATTACAACTTTGGCTCTTATATGACTACCCACTTCACTGTTCAACTAAGCGATTGATTTATTAGTCATTTTGTGAACACATATAACTCTGTTAATATTTTAAAATCATATCAGTACTTATTTGATGATCTTTTTACAGTTGTTTCGAGAAGTCAGGATTATGAAGTTTCTTGATCATCCCAACATTGGTAAAGATGTTTGATTTCATTTATTCTGGGTGTGTTATTTCTTGATCTCTCTTCCTGTCCTGTTTTTGCCTGTTAATAATAAATTTCTTCTTTTATCATTACCACACAGTGAAGTTGTATGAGGTTATAGAAACAGACAAAACCCTGTACCTTGTAATGGAGTATGCAAGTGGAGGTATGGGTGATGTTGTTTAAATAACAGTGTAAACAGAAAGATTATGACTGTAGCATGTTGCTGTAGAAACTGTCTTTGGCAACATCTCTGCATGTATTCATGATTCTCTTCACAAGGAATGCAAACTTGTTTCAGACCCAAAAAACTGCTCCCATCATGAAGTTGTATTGGTTGCTTTCAATGAAGGGACACCTTTCCAGGGATTTTCCCCTCATCATTATATCATTTGTAATTTATATCAGAAAGAAGGATGAAACTTAAAATATTATTTTGTTTCTAATTGTGAAGGTGAAGTGTTTGACTACCTTGTTGCACATGGCAGAATGAAAGAGAAGGAGGCCAGAGCCAAATTTAGACAGGTGATTGTCTAATATTTGTGAAGAAATGAAAGTGATAGTCTCTTGATACCATGCATTTCGTTTCTACTTGTAAGCAGAAGTAATGAGTGGGGTTTGTAATTTGTGTGAACAGGTGTAGGGTGCATTTTGTTGTTTAAAAAAATCCAGATCTGGAAAACAAAATTGTTTGGCAAATCTGTTTGCTGCCATGTGAAAGAAGTATTGATTTTTTCCATCATATTTTTAGATTGTATCTGCTGTCCAGTACTGCCATCAAAAACATGTGATTCATAGAGATCTCAAGGTAATGTGTTATCTTCAGCTGTTTGTACTTGTAAATGCAAAAGCCTAGTGTTTTTTTCCTACAAGAATAACACCTTTAAAGAGGTTTTTTGTATATAATTAATGTCTTGTTGTGATCAAATTCTAACATCTCCCTGATTGTTAATACCTGTGAATGAGGGGAGAGCAAGTTACTGAACATATAATTTAAAGGGATCAATGAGAGAAACCTTTCTTTTTGTGGGATGAATTTAATTTGTTTATTGATTCTTTATATTTTAGGCTGAGAACTTACTGTTAGACGCAGATATGAACATAAAGATAGCAGATTTTGGTTTTAGTAATGAATTCACTCCCGGAAATAAACTGGATACTTTTTGTGGGAGTCCCCCTTATGCGGCACCAGAACTGTTCCAAGGCAAGAAGTATGATGGACCAGAAGTAGATGTCTGGAGTTTAGGTGTAATTTTGTACACTCTTGTCAGTGGATCTCTTCCATTTGATGGCCAAAATTTAAAAGTAAGAATACATTTGTCATAAGTTTCTGGATGGTTTTATGCATTTTAACCATTTTAATTTGAGGAAAAACTTTTACTGGATTTTTGTCAGTAACTGTGGAAGAAGTAGGTTCTGTGGTTGGTATGGATAGTGTTACATGGAAGCAACATACATATGGTCTAGACCAGCTCTAACTGTCAACACCAATTTCACTAAACGTAATGGAATATTGTGTCCTTAATCAATTCTTCATTTTTCTTTGCAGGAATTAAGAGAAAGAGTCCTTCGAGGAAAATATAGAATACCTTTTTATATGTCTACAGGTAAGTAAGCAGATGCAAAGCATTCTTTTTAAGAATTTTTTTGCATTAAATAATTTTAATTTAAATTGGACTCAAACTTTCTTTCTTAATCAGCTCTCTGTTTTTTTTTTGTTTTTACAAATATAGATTGTGAGAACCTATTAAAGAGATTTTTAGTGCTAAATCCAATGAAACGATCCCGACTAGAGGTGAGTATTTGTTTATTTCATAAGTTTAAAAAAAGTAAAATCTTTGTAATGATGAAAGGGTCACAGAATTAGGAAACTTGTGAGCTTTTCATGGATTTATAACATCAAGAGTGGAGGGTCTACAGTCTTGACTCACATGAAGTTATTTTTTTTAGCTCAGCTCAGTGTACCACAATTTGAGGTTGATAGTTTAGGCACACAATTATTTAGTGGCTTGTTGTATGGTAAGTTGTGCTAAGTTTTAATGGACATACATGTAAATTTTTTTTACAGCAAATTATGTCAGACAAGTGGATGAATTTAGGATATGACAATCAGGAACTCAAACCTTATAGTGAACCCACGCCTGATTTTAAAGATGAGAGAAGAATAGGTAAGGATTCTCTGAAAGTGCATGGTGCATCTGTGTGTTTTTTTATCTACATTTAAAGTGCTTTAAAGATTTTTGTCATGTTATGTAATTTATTTCTAACCCTTTTGTAGAAATTATGCTGCAAATGGGATTTTCAAGGGATGAGATTGGAGAGGCTTTGACAAATAACAGATATGATGAAGTCATGGCTACCTACCTTCTCTTGGATGAGAAGAGACAAAAGTTAACAGTAAGTAACTGAACTTTGCCTTTCAATATGTTAAAAAAAATTGCCCAAACATTTAAGCCTGATTTTTTTCTGGCATTTTTTCTGCAATTGCTAAAATTGGAGCTCACCTGCAAGGCTACTTGGTGAATCTGCTTCACCTTTTACACCGTAACATCAGTAAGCATATTCTCCATGTTGTTCTCTATACATTTCTTTAAGTGCTGGCAAGGAGAATTTGTTTAACAATCAAGAGGTTTTTCAGTTGATTATCATTTCCTTTACTGTCATGACTTAAATGTTTGATTCATGGGTGATATTGAATGGAAAATGAAATGCCAGTCACTCTCAGGGATTAAAGGGTTAATAAGGCAGTGACATTTCTCAGAAAATATCAAGTTAAGCCAGCATTGAAGGTCAGTAGAATGCAGCACATGTCCTTTGCTTTGTGTAGCTTTGTTGGCAAAAATTTTCGAGGCGTCTTTGGTACTCTCTCTTGTTTCCTGTTTGTTTTCAAACACATGTATGTACCCTCATATACTTGGTTGGGCCTCTTTTTAAACAATAAACATCATGTAAAGGCACAAGTGTATGTAGACTTTGTCCAAAATCATCATTAAAACTCTTTAAAATCCCTCATTGTCTCTGATGTAACTAAGAAAAAGAAAAAAATTTTTCTCTGCAGTTGAATGGGTCCAGTGACCCACTTATGGAAAACACCAGTGCCCCAAGACCAAGTACATCAACGCCATCTGGTGTTCCTGCACCCATTCGGCCAAGTCGTGCAAGTGCACGACGTGAGAGAGGAGATAGGGAGTTACCTAGAAGGTATACTGAGGGTCGTGTTCCTCATAGCACAGGCCACACTGTTAGCAGGCAAGCATGACTCGGTTGCACTCTGTTAATTTTTTTACTAACCTATCATTGTTATTTTTATATTTGTTTCTTGTTAAGTTTTGTTTTGTGTTCCTTTTGTTTTTAGCTTTGGTTTTGAAGCCTTCTCCATCTTTTTGCTTTACAATTTTGTGTTGATGCTAACATTCAATAACCTTGCACTTTTTCACTCTAAGCAATTTTTTTATCACTTGGGAAAGGGCTTCCTTTTGGTAACAAAGATTTTCCAAAGATTCTTTCATGAAGTTTTGTAGGAGTTCTAAAATTGTTTATTTAATGAAGGCTTTTGTTCAACAAAGCAGCCATGCACAGTATGTGAATAGTTTGTTTTTTGATTGGGGCAATCAAGAGTGGTGTGATATCTCCTCTTTCTGACTGAGTGAAATTGGATCCCATTGTTTGCTGTGGGGAGGATGATAATGGGCCTATTATTTAACTACAGTAATGGTGTAGACAAAATATGGGTGTCTATTGCAGTTGCCTTATGCATTATGGAATCTGTATGATTGGTTGACAGTTTGATAAAGGTTAATTAGAGTTATATTTGGGGCTTAACAACCTCTATTGATCCATTAGTAACAAGCAGAACATTCCCAACAGAGCGGCAACTGAAACAGGTGGAACAGTGTCCAGCCAAGGGAAACCAATGGGAAGAGGGGAAAGAGAGAGAAGTGGTGTAATAAAGAATGCTATCCCTAATGATGAACGTGTACCCAATTCTATTGGAAGAGCATCAAACCCAAACAAGGCTGAGATACCCGAGCGAGCTGCAGATCGAAACAGAAGAGGAAAAACCCAAAGGGTAAGCATCTTTGGACAAAGTAGCATTTAGCTCAGTTTACATACACATTGCAACCAGGTCTCTAATCATATCCAAGAGTTAAGAGAATTATTAAACACAAGTTATTATTAAAAATCTACATACTGGTTTAATTACTTTCTTTTGGAAATAAAAATATCTTGTATTTCCTTCAAATACACTTTGGTAGTTTTATGCAGTGGAAATATGATGTTGATTTAGTTGCTTAATTAACATCTTTGACTGCATAGATTACATACTTGCATACTCAATTTGAGAAAGACAACTAAAGTAATTTTTCTTTGCATTCCACTAAGTCAGACATGGTTTATATTTACTTATGTACTGAAAAAAACTTGTTAATTATTCTCTCAGCAACAAAGTATGCCAGGAAGCATCATCCGACGCAATACTTATGTTTATGGAGAGAAAAGGGCAGAAGACAGGAACAGCACCTCGCAAACACCATCAAGTCAAACCAATGGAAAGGGAGAAAGGTGTGTAACATGCTCATGCAAAAACATTGTACAGTGACAATATATCCCAAATCCAATCAAATTGAAAACTGTATTTAAACCATAAACTCCAAAGATCTGATTGTTAATTCTCCCCTCCAGCTGATACACATTTCATTGAAAATTAGTTACAAGAATTTGGTGTTAGAAGAAGAAAACGAATTTAACCTGATAAGTTTAGGTATGCTCATTTCCTGTTTGCCAGATGATATATGGATTTTGCAGGGAGAAGTTACAGGTTAATCACTTCTGAAAGTTAAAGGGTGTTTAAGCAATATGAAGAAAAAGAGATTTGATGTTTTCAAAGTAAGCAAGTCCATAGAATAAAGAAAACACACTCCAAGCATACATATATAACTGCTAGTTTGAGAATCTAGTCACTGCAGTCAACTTAGAAGTACATCGCAACATATGTTTGAACTATTGCAACCGCCACTCTCTGGAACTTTTACATTAGCATCTTTCTTCTCCCAACTTCCGATCTGCAGCTCTAGTAGCCAGCTCTCTCTTGCTTGCTTAGGTTACTACAATTTTCAGTTGAGTGAGGCATGACCAAAGTTTGATGATCACTGTTTGACATAAAAAGCATCTTGTTGCCACGGGGAACTTGCTTTGTTTGTAGTAGCAATGTGTCATTTGACCTCTTTTGGCAGGCTTTTATGTTTGACAATTGGCCACACTCTGCTCTGGGAAATAAGGAGGGTTGGCCATGATAACACTGTTATTTTATGGTCAAAACCTCATCACCAAACTTTTCTGCGCTTCACTCTACTGACAATCATAGTAATTTACATGTAACTGCTAGTAAGCTCTTCAAAAGAACAGTGTATCTCACCTGTTCATCTCTCTTCCTTTTCTTAGCATGACAGAGCCAGGCCCTAGTGGCAGCAGTGTGGCTTCTGGCAGGCCTATGTCTAAGCAGCCCCCACCCGATCTGGGTAACAGGCTTTCACCCACACGTAGATCTCTTCCACCAGTTGCTATACATCAGGAAAATAGACATAGAGCTGGGTGAGTCAGCAGATATCAGTTTACAATAACCAGACAAGCCTGCATATTTGTCAAGTCTGTGTTGTATTTAGCTGGTCAAAAACAAATGCGGACATCCTATTACAACAGTAAACTAGCTCTTTGAAACACAACATTTAATCAACGCAGCCAAATGCTCACACAGGCTCTGCGCTCTTTCAACACATTTCGTATTTGCTGCTGGGAGACCCCTCCCCCCCACAAGAAAATTAGAGTAAAATCAATATCTGCCTGTACATTTTCAACTGTTGTTCTTTGTATTCCTTGTACTTTGGTCCTCTCGCATTGTGGTGCATCTTAAATCCTCACCCATTTCTTCATCAACTTTAGTACCTTGCATGAAATACTGCATCTGTGCGCAAAAAAATTGCTTAATCTTTGGAGTCGAATCTTGAATATTCAATGTTTCAGTGGGTGGTACAATGTGGCATTGACCACTTTTTCTTTCTCCTGCAGGAGAACAAATCCCAACACTAACTCAGACATACAACCCCCACCATCACGGTTAGGACCTAGAAATGTGACAGCACGTAGCACGTTCCATAGTGGTCAGACACGACCTCGCACACAGAATGGACCTGACAGATCCATTGACCCTAACAGCCCTGGGGCAAGGCAAGGCTTTCTTACCAAGCTTACATCAAGATTTAGTAAGAGGTTAGTGAATAAAGATGGTCCAGGTGAAAGTACAACTTGGAGTAGGTTAGAAATACCTTGCAAAAAATTGCAAATGAAAGAAGCTTATTAGGAAAGCGCATACCTCTATTTCCATACAAAGAAAAACACAATTTTGGTTTTTTTTTTAAAGCAAGGTCTTTAATTTGTAATTGCAAACTGTATTACAAATTCTCACTGTTACAGCAATGTGAAACGGAGAGGTCAGGGTAATGAAGAGATCTAGCTAGTTTTTGTCAGGTCCCTCTTGATGCACTAAGCATCATGCAAATGTTTTCTAAATGGAACTGTTGTTGAAGTTTTATGCATTTTTTTGCACATCAAGTGTTTTAACCATCTTTGAGCTTGTAGGAAACATTAATTCACTAAAAAACCATAATATACCTCTATGAAACCACAAAATGTACTGCACTTACTTTATGCACATGATAAATCTTGGAGGCAGTGTTGTCTTGAAACCTTCATGATGTCTGACTTTGAAGCAGGTAACTGTCTAACTAGCGTGCTGATTTCAAACCAGATTTAATTGATATTCTGGAATAAATGTGTAGTTTTAACCATAAAGTAAAAATTTGTACTTTGGCCCCTGATGATGCTCATTGGCAGAGTATTCAATTTAACCCTGTTTGGCTTCTTACAATACTCAGTCGACAGTTGGACCCCACAATGACCTCAAGGCCCGGTCCCCAAGGACAACGGTCAGTTTATAACTTGTCAAACTTGTGTAAAATTGGTTAATTCTTTGAATCTGTTAATCTATACTTTGTGAGAATTTTCCATCTGCTGCTGAACCTTCTTTATATACAGTATTTAAAACTTAAAATCTTCATTAGTATACTGTTAAAGTAAAAGGAACAATTTAAGATAAAAACTTTAATTGCAGTAAACGTTTTAATGCTGTAGGCTTCTTGCTTCTTTGTGTTGTCAATAATCTACAATTTTGTATAAATAAAACGTTTGGTGTTCTTTCTCTTTTAAAAACCAACAGTTGTAATGCTACAAACCCTTTTACTGTCTTTTATTATTCTTAGATACAAAATAAATGCTGTGTGAAATAGTGTAAGAACAACAATGCATTGTTGAATGAGTGAAAAATGTTTAATTAAGATGTGTCGGTTCAACTTGGGTTTGGAAAGAAATGACTGTTAGATAGTTTTTCTGGTATAGAGTTACTGTCAATCGCCTGAGGAAGACTAGATGTTGAACAGCAAATATATCTTTTTTCTAAGTTTTAGTGACAATTTAGCATAGAGCTGAAATAAATGGTTCTTATGCAAGTGGTTGAGTGTTCCACAGACTAGCATGTTTAAACAATTTATCATGAAAGCTGATAATTTTTTTGGAAGAAGTGTTTGTTGTATTTTTGCTCGAGTGGAATTCATTCTTATTGACCAGGTTTCGCTTTGCAATGATAACTGCGCCACTTTTTTCTTTCAGGGATGAATATGTTTTACAATTGCAACAACACGCTTTTGACATGATTAATTTTTCTCATAGACCAATGGATCAAGCCCTGTCTCCAAGGGAACCAAGAGAAATGTCACGTGGGAGCATGGAAGGCAGTGGTCAGGGGTTAGTGGAACTTCTCAGTGCTTATAATACTCAACAAAACAACAATAATAATAATGGGTTGGGATGTGCAGAGAGCTTGATTGTCTTAAATTGAACAATTCTTGCTCAGCTTAAGGTTATAAGCAGAGTGGTGAAAGTATTAAACACAAAATAAACACTGGAAATGAATTTAAAAATACATGTAAAGCTGAAGGGAACCTGTAGAACGCTTGCCATCGTGTTTACAATTTTGTCACTTGAAAGTTCTTGGCCTTCGTTTACAAGTTCTTCATTTGTTATCCACTGTTTGCCAAGAAGAACTTAGGTATCCTGTTTAATTCGGAAAAAAGGGTTGTGAAAACTAAGCGTTGGCTCAAGCGATGGAGAATGTTTGTTCTCGTGGATTTAAAATTTGGCGTATTCTGGCTGTGGATCTGATGTTCCTGAAGTGGGAGTCCATTTTGGCGGAAGCATTTAAGATAATGTTTAAATTTGGGGAAGGGGAAAGAAAGAGAAAGAGGGGGGGAGGGGGTATGGGGGGAATTTTTTTCGTTATTTGCGGGGTTACGTTATAAGCGCTATTTCCACATCGTTCGTACATGCAAACGTAAACCGTAAACGTTCCTTCAAGAACATTTTAATTACGCGTTAATTAGTTTTGCAAGTCATACGCAAGTGTTTTCTGTCGATATGAACACGAACATGTAACAGACCACAAGGAAAGTTTTTCTGAAGCATTCAAAGCTTGCTGTAGTTTTTTTTTTTCAAGCAGAAGCTGTATGTGAATTTTCTTTTTCCTTGGCTGGGAGTCTTGTTTCATTATCAACTCAATTTAGTTGGTCGAGAAGAACACGTCAATAGCCATTTTAACTGCGGTCTCTTCGTTTGCTCGCTTAGCTTTTCGGCTGCATTTAAATTCAGAAGGTTGTACTGTTCCGTACCTGGATGAGAAAATAAAGTTTGACTCTGCGTAATACCAAAACTAAAGCCATTAAACTCAAAGATAACTTGAATGAAGTATCCGTGTTTAAACGACGCTTGTTGTGACAAGAATTTGAAACTTGACGAGTCAAACCTACGTTATACTCTTTTGGGGGTAACCTTTTTCTTTAATTTTATTATATTTTGCCGTGCTTGTAATACAGGCTCAGTTAAAAAAATTAAGCCATAATTTAACGTTTGATGTAATTGATGAGATTTTCGGGGGTAAGTAAACGAGCAATATTCAGTTTTATGATTGCTTCTTTAAATGTATAAAAACTGAGATTTTAAAACTCGTTTTTTCGAATACGTTTGACTGAGTCTATCTGCAGTTCAATCAAGGGTCTTGGTTTGTAGCCGTTGTCATGTGTTATAATAACGTGATAGTTAATCTGTCTTGGGATTTTTTGTGACAGCTGAAGCTGGTCACTGTAATCTTGACGTTTGTTTGTTTTAAAAATGCGTAACGCTAACGAGGATTTGTTTTTAAAGAAACAGGTATAAATCAATGCATTTAGATAAAAATTGTTTTACAATAATATCCTAGTCATGACTTTATCGAAGATTAAGTGGTAAATAACATATTTGGCAACTTCCTACTGCCATAGTTAAATGCTTTAAACGTAAATAGCGGTAAAGCTTGGAGCTCGGAGAAGGCCATTGCTGCATGACGTTGCAAAAAAAAAAAACTTGTTTGAAAATCTGCCTCATAAAGCTGATTCCATCTCGAGGCGAAATCCTCATACAAAGGGAACGGTAAGTCGCTTTTGCCGCTATGCTGCGTTCGGTTCGCCGGAAGTGACGTCATGTGGTACCTTCTCTGGGTTGGATTCTGGATGGAACAGTGCAGCTTGGAAAGCTCAGCTTCAGACCCCTCGCGGACAAAATCTTTCACGCGAGCTGGCAATGCTAGAAATTTTTAAGGAATGTTTCATAGCCGTGACTTCTGTGCATTGTGTTTTTTTTTTTCCCGAAGTGGTGTGGTCTTTTTACTGTGATAACACTTAATTAATCATTTGTTGCCCAGTCTAATATTGGCGCGGTGTCTAATCTACTAACGGTTGGCTTTGGTGATGTGCAGACGGAGTAATATAACAGTAGATTAATTAATAGCTGACTTAATCAAAACTGTTGTGGACTAATTATTTTAATAATTGTCATGATATAACCACTTGGAGAGGGATTGGTAACTAATGTGTGATTAAGCTCATGATCATGTAACACGCACTGTTGGGGTCTCAAAACCTTCCGAGTACACGTTGTTTTGTGTTTCTTCACCGCTAGTTATTTTTTCACTTTTATTTTAGTCAGATCGTGTCATTATTTCAACCATCACATGCGTTTTCCAGTGCACTCCTCACCCATATCATCACTCACTGCATCGTCCTCGGTTTTACTCGTTTATTTTTATGTTTTGGGACATGTTATGATTAGTCCACATACGATTTCATCAGCTATTAATGAAAAATTTTCAGTTTTTTCCCCAACATCTGTTACGTTTTTACTTTGAAAGTGCAAACACCATCCGTGTTATTTTCGAGCATTCGGTAGCAATCTGAGGCTGCCTCGTGAACGACCGAAAGCTTCACGATCACTTCTAACTTTTCCCCACTTTGGCTCTAACCGTGACCTGCGCAACTGTTTTAGCAGTTTTCGGGCTAGGAGACCTCAAGAGGAGTTTCCCTTCACTTGAACCGAATGTTAGAAAATTTTGTCGTGGAGAAATTATTTAAGCGTTATGCACAAGCGTTATCGTCATTGTTTGCGCGAGATGGTCGTCATTCCTTGCCGCACGGGTGTTGTACGCACTTTTAACCCCACAGTAGTAGAATAGTTGATTGTTACTGTTTGCACCCGGAAGCCACTAGCACTTGAATTCTGTTTTAACAATGAAAGCACGGTGTATCGAAGTCACGGCTGTTTGCCGGTCAGATTAAGTCATTGGGGTTCAATTTATTGTGGCTTACATAGCGAGGGGTCTGACAAGCTGTGTTGTTGCGTTCAAGGGCCCGAGGTGGTAGTGCATCTGGGGTAAAGTCCGCCTATCCGGACCCAAAGTCCCGTATGAGCCCCAGGCGTAAATCTCTTCGAGGAACGTTTGCTAGGCTGTCGCTCAGAAAGCACAGAAAAAGGCAGGTGTTGGCAAATCTGCGCATGTGCAGTTGGACCAATCTCTCGCTAGTGCTAGTCTATGCTTGTCGCGCGAACGCCCTACACTGTCAGTGAACTGAACCTAGCAATTGATTGGTTCAGCGGCGTGTGTGCCATGCTATTTGAGACCAGTACTCGTTCCACCAATCAGCTGCTTGTGCTGCTAAATTTAATTTTTGGTTGGACCAATCAGCGGCTTATTCTAGTGCTGTGCAAATTTCATTTGCCAAGCCTCGCTTTGATTGTTTCCGTGGCGAATGGTTCAGGTTACTGGATTTACTATATAGTGCTATCGCGGGTGTTAGGGGAAGGAACATAGTTTCCTTCGTGGCCCTTGTGTCTGATTGGTGCAATGAGTTAATTGTGAGCAGTCAGGCAAGAAGCTGCTTTCCTGTCGTAGTTGTCAAGCATCGAAGTTGGCGCGTTCACTTTGTTCTTACACTAATTAAAAACGTGACCATCATGGTGTGCCTGTACTTTCTTTTTTCATAACATAGCGCACGTGGGTTGACTTTGAGTGTTAAAATCTTATAATTTTTCTAGATGGTTTGTTCCTTGACTCGTAAATTACAGTTCTACAATCTTTGTGTCTTTTCGTTATATTTTGCTGTTGACTCTTTGTTTCTTTGTCTCCTTCTTTTCTGGTAGCAGTGAAGGAATTTGCAAAGCTGATACATAATTTATTGTTGTTTACGGTACAGATCAATGAATGATACATCACTGGGCGAGAAGCCTCGCTCTCTTCGTTTCACGTGGAGCATGAAGACTACAAGTTCTATGGAACCACAAGAAATGATGGATGAAATTAGAAAAGTATTGGAATCTAACAGCTGTGACTATGAACAGCGGGAAAATTTCCTTTTATTTTGTTGCCATGGCAATCCCGCTGACGCCAATCATGTTCAGTGGGAAATGGAGGTTTGTAAACTGCCTCGTCTGTCTTTGAATGGCGTACGTTTTAAACGAATCGCAGGCACTTCGATTAATTTCAAGAACATCGCTTCGAGAGTAGCGAACCAGTTAAAGCTGTGATGGAGAATTTCTCATCGTAGGATCACTCGACTTATTGAACTCGATCGACGACTCACCCAACTCTGAAGACAGTTTAGAGTATTTGAAATACCTCCCTTGAAAATGACTGCGCAACAGGCCACTAACTTAAAGATAATTTGGGTTTTTTAGAACTTCGCAAAGTCGCTCAAGAATGGAACTTCAATTTTGTTAAGGCGGGCGGAAGATTTTGTTTGTTTTGCACTTTATTGTCTGCGTCAGTTCGACAGTGTTGCGAGATGGTTTTTACTCGCTACAGAATCACAGTACATACTAATGACATGTTTCTACGAGTTTGGAAAATTACCAGAGGACCGAGAACTTGTAAGTTCGTGTAAATAACCATAGGAATTATTTAATTTTAATGGAGGGTAGTAGAAAAAACTGCCCGCACGACCCCTGACTGTAGTGGGGTAACATGTTTTCTTTGCTACTTGTGTTTCACTTAGCAGGTCTTCGTTGTTCACGTGTGAAGTGCATTGAAGCCTTTACACCAACCAGAAACTAGTCTCTGGTTCCCTCCTTTCTTTCGGCCGGGTAAGCTGAAGAGCTTGGAGCAGAAGACCGCTCCACGAGCAGATTGAGTGAAACTACAAGAAATTTTTCAGTTGTGGAATGTTGCCGCATATTTCGCCTGAGTTACGCAAATAATGATGAAAACGTTTCATCTGCACGCAACAGTCCTTTTTTCCACAGATATTAGGATTGCCATCGGAATTTTTCTTCTCTACATTCGTGAAGCGTTTTGTCCTGGGTGAAAATTCCTTAATACTAGTTTATTATTTGGCAAGCATTTCACAACTGAATTATCGAAATCTAATTTCGCTCTGAATGTGTTTTGGTGCTCTACGTGAACAGAAATTGCCTCGTTAATTTAATGACCGTTAATTATTTTTAATTATAAAGAGATACTTCATTGCCCAGCACAAGTAGAAATTTAGTGACAGATCGTAAGTGTTTACCTAATCCGAATACGACGCGAGTAAGCTTCGTGAGTGTTCGGTTGGCAACGAAATTCTGTTTTTTTTTCTAAGGTCAAATTCTCACAACAACCCCTTGAATTCAAACGTTTTCTTTTGTATAGGTTAAGATGGTACCACTTAATATTCGATCTTGTACGTGCACAAAGCAAAAGCTATGGTGACCTTGAATTTGTTGTAAATTACACAACATCCCCCCCCCCCCCACCGTTGCAAAGTTAATAGTCACGCAAGTCCGTCTGTGGCTAAATTTTATTGTGAAGGGTCAACGCACTTTTACAGATTGGAAACAAAATAACTTAGATGCAATTAATTAAACCATACCTCAATTTGGATTGATGTTGTACATTTTCATTGCTGGTAGGATCGTAATTCATTTCTGTATGATCTTGGTAGAATAAATCGTAACTTGATGTAACAAAACATCACTTTTTCCACGAAATCAATTTTTTTCCTCAGTGCTGCGTGTGAACATTTTGGAAAAACATTTGAAAAGGACTGGATACCCGAATTCATTTATTGTTTGTGTCTAATGAAGGCGTAAAAAAAAAATGTCGCGTTACTCTAGTGTGACTCGCAACGGCAAGAGATGTGTGGCGTGACTTGTGTCACGTGTTTAGCTTGGGTTAATTGATTGGACTGCCTGAATCACGTGGAATTCTTTCTTTCATTCCTCGCCACTGACTCTGTCTTTGTAAATATTATTTCTAAGGATTCCAACCTATTATAAAGTGCGAGGCAATTTCTTGGTATGTAAACGGTCCTTTGTCGCTTTTTAGTCAATTTAGGGTTATCTATAACAAATATATTCTTAAACATGGAAAACGGGTTGTTTTGTTTAGTCTTACGGCTACTAGGCAGCGCGAAGCAATGGCTCTCTTGATTCATATCTTCATTTGAAACCTGGGCCCCCAGAGTGTTCCCCTCCTGGTTTCTACGTACTATGGGAAATAAATTCGTTCGT